ACATACACAACATACATACATACATAACATACATACATACATACATACACAACATACATACATACATACATACATACATACATACATACATACATACATACATACATACATACATACATACATACATACATACATACATACATACATACATACATACATACATACATACATACATACATACATTACATACAGACATTACATACATACATACATACATGCATGCATGCATGCATGCATACATACATACATACATACATACATTACATACATACATACATACATACATACATACATACATACATACATTACATATATTACATACATACATACATACATACATACATACATACATACATACATACATACATACATACATACATACATACATACATACATACATACATACATACATACATACATACATACATACATACATACATACATACATACATACATACTTCATACATACATACATACATACATACATACATACATACATACATACATACATACATACATACATACATACATACATACATACATACATACATACATTACATATATACATACATACATACATACATTACATTACATTACATTACATTACATTACATTACATTACATTACATTACATTACATTACATTACTTTACATTAAATTACATTACATTACATTACATTACATTACATTACATTACATTACATTACATTACATTACATTACATTACATTACATTACATTACATTACATTACATTACATTACATTACATTACATTACATTACATTACATTACATTACATTACATTACAATACATACATACATACATTACATACATACATACATACATACATACATACATACATACATACATACATACATACATACATACATACATACATACATTACTTACATTACATTACATACATACATACATACATACATACATACATACATACATACATACATACATACATTACATACATACATACATACATACATACATACATACATTACGTACATACATACATACATACATACATACATACATTACATACATTACATACATACATACATACATACATACATACATACATACATTACATACATTACATTACATTACATTACATTACATTACATTACATTACATTACATTACATTACATTACATTACATTACATTACATTACATTACATTACATTGCATTGCATTGCATTACATTACATTACATTTTCATTACATTACAATTACAATACATTACATTTACATTGCATTGCATTACATTACATTGCAGTAACATTACCATACGATACAACATACATACATTACATACAACATTAATACATACAACATACAAATACATTCAAACATACATACATACATACATACATAACATACATACATACATACATACATACATACTTACATTACATTACGTTTACATACATACATACATAACATACATACATACATACATACATATCATAAACACATACATACTTACATACATACATGCAAGCATGCATACATACATACATAACTACATTACATTACATACATACATACCTACAATACATACATAGAGGAAACATACATGAAACATACATTACATTACATTACATTACATTACATTACATTACATTACATTAAATTACATTACTTTACATTACATTACATTACATTTACATTACCAATACTATAATCATACATACATACATACATACATACATACATACATACATACATACATACATACATACATACAACATACAACATACGGTTACATACGTCACATGCATTGGAAAAGGAGCTCCTGTTTGAGCCACAATCAAAACCCGGTACAAAAATGGTGAACCCAGAACCCTGTAACGAAATAGGAAGGCGGCTATGGCTGGGATTGCCCCTTACTAACCTTCTCTACCCGGGTTTTGATTGTGGCTCATTTGAGCTTGAATTCAGAGTTGATCTTTTGATTCAAAAAAACATTTGGAAAAATAGATTTGGCGGTCTAAAACAATGGACATTCAATAAACCCTAAACCCGGTAGGATTCCAGTTCCTCACAACATTCTACTTGAAAGAAACTTATTTAGAATCCTGTCTGCATCCTGAAGTATAGGCCAGTTGCCACCGACAAATATAGATATAGATATATACGGCATACATGTAAACGCCCCCCCCCCCCGGGCATTGCGCAGTTTGTAAGTAGCATTGTCCTGACCTTCTGGGTTGCATGTCGGCCCTGTCCGGACCCTAACGCCTCGCCTATCCGCCTCGAAACAAGGGCCTTGTTTCTTCAAATGAGACCCCTCATGTGCTTATGGCCATGTCTCCGATTTGCGAGCTTGCTGCAGTTCGTTCTGGCCAGAACAGTGCCGGCACATCACAGGATAACTCTAAAAAAGATTTGCAACAGGTGTCTGGCGGGTATCCGAAGCTGCTTCCTTGCGACGAAATGTCAATGCTTCCGTGCTGCCAGCCTTGCTTCCCCGAACTCTGTTAAAACCCTATGTGAGAAGGAACTCCTAATTGAAATTGCACTTAGAATTCAGCTACTGAATAATTATTCGAATAGGAGGCCATTTCCTTATCAGATTGTGTTTCAACTCCCATTAATATGCAAAATCCTTTTTGCGAGGGAGCTCCTGTATGAGTCATTGATTGAAATTGAGTTCTTGGTTGTTTTCAATGGGGTTGCAGCTCCTTATTTACATCACCAGCTTTTCGTGGCTTTAGACTGCCTTGGCTTCCCACATCCTCAGCATCGCCAAATGGTGCCTTAATCTCTACAACAGCCAGCGGGCAGCGGCAGCCCCCCCCATTAATGTTCAGTGATGCTTCAGCAAAGGGTGCTTTAATATCTGCAAGCATTCCAAAAACCAGCGGGGTTTGGGGGGCGGATACGGCTGCCCCCCCCCAATGATGTTCGAAGAAACGCTAATTAATTTCTACATACATACGTGCATTGCATACATATTGCCACACGCACATCCGCCCCCGGCGAGCGGTTCCAAGCTGCAGCCTTCCCAGGTCCCCGCTCTCACAGGCCCAGCGGATCTCCGAGGCGAAGAAGTAGTCCAAGATCTTCTTGGGCTCGCAGGCCACCATGGAGCCCTCGTATTCCACCTCAAGAATTGCCCTCCGAGGCCGCTTGTTGCGGGAAACTTTCTTTATGGTTGGGTGGGATCAGCTTTCGGCGGACCGTTGCTTCTAGGACCTTGGCGAAAGGAACCACTTTACGATCGGATTCGGGATGGGGTTCAAATGGGCTTAGATCGTTTCGCTGGCTCAGGCTGGGCATATAGGACGTGTCAACACCCCCCCCTGGTTTCCCCACCCCCAGTCTCCGAGTGCCAGCAAGGACGCCCTTTTGGGGGCTCACCATTTTAGAAGGGGAACACCAAAGGGAGACAAGGTGCCACCGAACTCCACATTGCCACTGAACGTGTCGCAGGAAGCGACAATTCGGGCTTCACTGCCATTTCCAAACCCTCTTCTCCGGAAACTTGTGCCATGCAAACAGAAACAAACACGCACCCCGAAACAAACACGCACCCCAACAAGGTAACAAACGATTGCAACGTGTGGAGATTTGGGAATCCATGTTAGTTGACAGCCAAGACGATGCTAAAGAGTCCAAATTTGGTGTTCAAGAGCAAGAATTGGTGCTGTAGCAAACCAGGCGCAACACGGATTTTCAGGCAACCCTGACAGGGTGCCGAGCCATCATCCTGGACGTTGATAGGAGGCAACAGCAGTCCTTGCAGTGCGACCAGGGCAAAAAATAGACAATTTTCCCGCAAATGAGCGTGGCGGTGCCCCAAATTCAGGGGCAATTCTAGCATCCACTGCCAAGTTAAACAAAAACACTCACCCGTGCCCCAGTCTGTTTCACACTCTCATTCCCTGGGTGCCGGCCGAATTTGTAGAAGGAAACATCCCAAACCGCGCTGAGCGTGTGAATCGTCCCAAACCGCTTGCAGGGCCCGCTTTTGTGATGCAATGTCCCGCATGTCGCTCATGTTGTGTTCCGCTTCGCCGGTCGCCAACCGGAAAGTTGCCATCGCCCCGATTTCCCCAAAACGCGGGCAAGGGCAAGGGAGGGGCGTCGAGATGCGGCTGACCCCTGACCCCTTCGAATTCGGTCCTGTCAAGGGATCTGTGGTCACCTTGCCTTCCTGATGTCTCTGGATACCAGCGATGATGTCTTGCTGCTGCGCCTTAAGCGCCGAACCACTTGCCCTTTGACGACGCGTGGCTCCAAGCGTGCCATGCTTGCGGCAATACTTCTGCTCTCAAATTTCCAAAGTGGGCGATTTCAGGACTCCATATTGGAGTTGTCATGCGCAGTCATGCGAAAAAGTTGGCTGTTTCTTCTCTAGTTCCAGGCCAAATCCACTTGAAGAGGGAGGAGATGTCCAACCCCACATGATGTGCGAATTTTGAGTGCCGACTCAATCCCGTCCAGGCCTCAGTACGAAGGTTGTACCAAAGCAGCGCGACAGCTCCACCTCCAAAAGGGGCGCTGTTGGACCGATGATTTTGGAAACAACCATAACACAAACCCCTGTACTGTAACCCTGTTGCTAGAACTGTCCTTTTTAGAATGCGGGGGGGTCCGAAGGGAAATGGACCATGAAGTTACTGACCATGCATTTCCCTAGAAAGGCTTCAAGGGGACAGCAAGGCGGATGATTTCACATCAATTAGATGTTCAGCTCCACTTGTGCAATCTGCTTCACCCAAGCCTTTTGTGCAGAACCGGGTTGGCCCGGGCATTCAACTCCATCCAAATGGCCCTCATTCCCAAGGGCGAATGAAGGGTTAACAAGTTCGGCCCGAAGGAAGTCAGTGGAGGAAATCTTCGTTCATTTGGCGCCTGCAAAAGCCTACATGCCCACTGGCACTAGAAAACGCGAAGCCTTTTGGGGTTTACGGGGAATCACTCACCCAAATCCTCCCCCGCCTAGGCCAGCCAAGCCGGGCACCACGGACAAAGAGCCTCTGATGATCCACTGTACTGCCTCGTTCTGCTCAGGCAGGTCAGGGTTGTAGTTGAAGTAGCCTCTCTCTCGCTCAGATGGTGCCCTCACTACCCCCCAAACCACTACCCGCACCAAATCGAGCATGCACCCCTTATGTAGCTGCAAAACATGGTTAGATATGTATATATCTCATTTTTTGCTCGGGGATAGTGATTTGAGGGTGGTGTATACCATCTTACCCGCTCTCCCGAATCGAGGATTGTTAAGCAGTGTCTCTAAGATGTTTTCCAGTATATAACCCCCAAACTACCCCTATAAGGAACAATGAGGATATGTGGCCAAAATGTAAGGAGTATATACCCAACTTGCCACTGGGGATAGTGTAATTTGTGGTGGGATTGATGTTATGTCTCTCTCTCTCCCTCTCGCATCCGTTGCTGTGAACCATAGATATTCGTAGTCAACACCAGGCTCCTCTTTGTGAGTTGCAAGGCAACCTGCCACAAAGACACTCCGAAAACGGGGTATTGACACATCAGCTGATGGGTGGATTGTAAGACCTACCAGGCTGAATGAGGCATAGCCTCCTTCCACTATCTTCATTCCCCCAAATCTTCCTCGAGATATCCAGCTCAAACATAGCAAAGCACACGTTAACCCATGAGCTTGGCAAAATGTGGAAAACAATCATCTTGCACCCGCAGCGCTCGCAGGTGGCAATATTTGCACATGCCTTAGTACGGATGGCAATGGCAATGAACACATGCATTTACGCGTACCTCCCTTACAACTTGGGCATATCTGTACGTTTATATATGTGCCCATTTGTTCATACCAACACCAGTCTAGGTTCATCAAAGACATCCACCCACGCACCGACTAAATGGTGGTTCAAGTTCGAAGGAAAATCACGTTCAATCAAATTCCATTTTTTCAGAGACTAAAATCATCGTATCATTGGCCCAACTCTGGCATGCAAAATGCTATTTTTGTGCTGGAGCACGAAGAAAACTAAAGGTCAAAAAATAAGTTTGGTCTGGAAATGTAATCATAGAATCTTTGGAACCTCCTTTTGGCTGCCCTTTAAACGGTTTGTTCAAACAAAAGGGTCAGGACGAAAAACACGGATCCCTTTGTAGTGGGTCCCGGACCTTTGCCAAACAGCAACCTAGTTCTGGGGGCGTTCGACTTCTTTTTCTTCGAGCCAGAAGGCCAAATTATTCGGGCCCAACATAGATAAAACTTGTGTGGGTACGTGGATATTTTAACCTCATTGGTTGTATGGTCCCAGGATGGCCTTTGGTTCAGCGAAGAGTGGCCCTTTGCTGCAGGGATGTCCAGGCCCTTTGGTTTTTCGTCCCACTCTGGAGGACCAACAGTGGACAACCCAAATGATGCTTGTAAACTTGGTTGCTGTTGACCCGCATTTGCATTCAACAACTTCCGACGCTTTTTGCGGGTCCGATTCCGAAAATCCGACCTGCTTCGAAAAAACAAAAAAATGATGTCCAAAAAATCCGCGCCCAAATCGCCATAAGGAGATCAAAGGCAGGGTGGGGCAAAATGTTGTTTAAACACCAGCTTCACAAGAAATCTTGGTCATAACCAGTGGTTTAAACATGTGTAAACCAATGGGTAGCCCCACCCTAGAAGAAACCTTCGGACCTGGGCGAACCGGTGCCGAATGGCGCCGAGGGGCTCATGAGCAAAAAGGGCACCGCGTCCGCCGGGATCTCGCAGATCTTGGGCACCAGCTCCCGGGCCATGGTGAACTGACCCTATGGATCAGGGGGGCCGAATGGAGAAACGCGGGGTGAAGGGAACCGAAAGACCCGCTGCAAAACATGGGGTATCATGGGGCTGTTGTGAAAGAAAGGGCCACCCCAAAAAGTGGCAAAAATGTGAGGTTGTGAACAAAACCAAGGTGTTTGAACCAGGTCCGCACCTGATGAAATTAGTTAAGCAAGGTTAACCCACGGTTCAAAGGGCCTCTCTTTGCTCTTTAAAGAGTTTTGCTCAACATCCTCCTTTTGCTTCCGCGTAAAACAGACGTGCAACAACCACCAGCTTCACAAGGATTTGCATCCTCTACACCAGCTGGAAAACGTGATGCGTTAACCAGCTGGCTTCCTCTAAGTGACCCTGAAAAAGAAAGCCTTTCCGGATCTTTCCCCATTCAGCATCACAAAATAAAACTTTACGTAAAACCTGACATCGCACCTATCGTTTGGCTCACCCCGTCATTGGGCCCGACGTTTGGCCCGAGGAGTAGAGCCGCGCTTGGCACCCAGGCTGCGCCTCCCGGCGCTCCCCGGTGAGCAGCTCGTCGTAGTCCACCGCGTCAGAGGTGAGGTCCTGAAGCTCCCATCCAATGGCTACGTGTCAGCGTTTTCGTGGTCCATGTCTTCAGCCAAAGGGTCTCAAAAAACACCCCCAAATGGTTTGCTACGTTATTTTGTTTTTGGGAATGGGGGCCGTCTGACGCTTTTTTCGGGTCCTGGTACCTTTTGACCCGTGATGGGTGGTTTGGGGGGGGGGGAAGCATTCAAAAAGAAAAGCCTTTGGAACCCCCACACAGCTTTTCAAATGCATGACAAATATCTTGCCCGTCCAAGGGATTGAACAGGGAATCCCTTGGCACAGAACTCAGCCTGCAGTTTGCTGAATTTTACCGCCCCACGAGTCTTCCCCTACAAAACCAACCCAAAAAACAAACGAGTCTTCCCCTACAAAACGAACCCAAAAGAACAAAAAGGCCTACAAAACCAACCCAAAAACAAAAACAAAAAGGGGCGGTTTGGGGATCTCTCGAAATCCTAACCTTTTCCGCACAGTACGAACTTTGTTCGCACAGTACGAACTTTGTTTATGCTCATAGTGAGTTCCATTCTGCTCAAAACGTCTCTTTTCTGCTCATAACAAGAACCCTGGACATTTCTATCGGCAGTTAGCCCAAGCCCCCGATTTTGAGCTGCATTGGCTTGCGTCCAGACAAGCCCTGTGTCTGAACAACCCCCTTTTCCACCACAGCACACGCACCGCTTGAAACTTTGCCCCTGCCCCTTGGCCTCGTCGGGCTTCCTTTCGAACAAATAAACCACATGGGGCTGTTTAGCATCCCGTTGCCGCCGAACAAAGATTATATAGCCACCTTCTGCCATTTGTTTGATTGAAATGTTGCAATATCGTAATATGTTGCGATGGTTCCCAACTGCAATCAAGGGCTCCCCAAAGAAACTGCTAGCATCTCCCACCATGGGTACGCTCATTTACCATCAAGCAGCTAGTTATAGTTTGCCCAGGTGCGTTTTTGTATTCGGCACTCTCACCCTTAGCCAAAGCGCGAAGAGCAGCCAGTGCCCCGCATACGCGACGCCCCACACCGCACAGGTGATGAGGCCAAGTAAAGCGCTGCCTTTGCCAATAGAGAGAAACACAAACATGTAGCAGCCGTAGACCTCAGGTCGGGCTGCAACTAGCGCAATGCGCGGCGCGCCTCCATCCAACTTCCCTCTGAAATGTGTTGCAACTGTAATTGAGTTGGGCCAGGCTGTAACATGCTGTAACTGCGATGGTAGGTTACGCAATTCTTCAAACTATTGCTAAGGATTGTGTGTGTGTTGCTAACTGAAATATGCCAGTAAGTCACGTATACAACTAAATTCTTCCGTCCCAAGCCAGCCGGTAGACACCTCTCGCCGTATTCCCTGTGGTCTTTCGTGAGTCTACCAGCTTCCTCCTGAACCAAAGTCGAAGCGCAAAACCACCCGACACAAAATGATGGCAGTTTCATTCCACGGGTGCCGTTAAGGACAAAACCACCCTCCTTGACGGGCTATGAGACCAGTCGGCATCCAGGTCCAAAAGCTGAGAGGCCACATTGTAGGCCATGAAGGTCCAGTACTTGCCCCACTTCTTGGCCGCCTTCTGCCACAAAAAAGTGACAGGCACTCGCACGATCATGTGCACCACCACGCAGCCCGCGAAGAGCGTACCAGCCGAGCCCACCAAGGCTTCGGCAGCCT